TTGGCCCGTCATCATGGGGGCCGACTTCCTGGGAAAGAACACGGGCGTCCCCATGCACTCCGCGTTTAAGGTTTAGGGTTGAGGGTTTAGGGTTTGGGGTTTAGGGTTGAGGGTTTAGGTTTAGGTTTAGGGTTTAGGGTTTAGGGTTTGGGGTTTAGGGTTTGGGTTTAGGGTTTGGGGTTTAGGGTTCTTTCATTGAGGCTCGAGTCTTAGACCAGGGTTGAAGACGAGGCATGCAATTCTCATACTGGATAGAATTATAGACCGTATGCCTTTTCCCAGATTGCTGCAACCACACCGCAAGTAACTACATAGAGCCTCATTGGAGATACTTCTACGTCTGAGTAGCAAGAGAGTTGCGGACATCGTCTTTGGAGCTGTCGCCAGGTGCTCACACACAGTGCGCGCAGGGCCGCCCTAAAAAAGGCTCTACAACGTCTAATTTAGGGGCCTAAATTACTACCAATACTCTTGTGGGGGCTCCTTAGTATAAGTATAGTATCATTATGCCCCAAAACCCTATTCTAATTATTGAAGCCCCTGTATTACAACTAAGCCTGAAGCCCTCAACCCGGGTTGCGAAGGCTACGATCTACAGGAGTCGGACCGCGTCGCACTGCACCGGGGAGGCGTCCTGAGTGGCCGTCTTTCGTAATTGTGCGCCGAGCCTTCCAACAGAGCTTGGGGGGGTGCAGGGTTTACGGTTTCAGGGTTTACGGGTTTCGAAACCAGGGGGCTTCACGGTTTCGGCGGTAAGTTTGGGGTGTGGGGGGTGAGGGCTTTGGGGGAAAGCTCCTGGGGGGTTTGCAACTAGACCCTGTGTTTCTTTTTTTTTGCGGGTTCAAGTGGAAAACCCAAGTCCAGAACTCCGAAGCTTCTAAATTCGCCCCTAAGCCGCTGAAGCCTAAAGCCCTATCTTCCATTCCTGGCTCCAAAACGACCCACGGCGCAGTGACTGTCAGTTTCGCAAAGAGGGTTTAAGAGCACCCCTACAATGCTGGGGGGCTCGATTGGAGCAGGCTTCAGGCGAGGGGCGGGGTGCGCTTGCAGTGAAGAAGAAGAGAGGAAGACTTGACACCAAACGCTGCAGTCTAAACCCTAAACCCTAAACCCTAAACCCTCTGTCTAACACTCAAAACCTTGCACCTTCAACGCTGCAGCCTAGCCATGAAACCCTAAGCCTACACCCTCATCTGGACCTTAAAAATAGTACATAGACGCCTGAATAGTTGCTCACAGTGTTTCTTAGGTTTTCTGAGTACAACTGTGTTATAACACACCATACCAACAAAACCGTAAACCCTAAACCCTAAGCCCTAAACCCTATAAGCCGTACACCCTCATTAAAACCTTTCTATTTCCATCCTCTGCGTAGCCAGGCTGCGGGTCTACGGATGCCACGCAGCATGCTGCTACGTCATACAGGCACGGAGGATTTGGGGCTTCTGAGGGTGGTTTTGAGTTTCAGGGTATAGGGCTAGGTTTAGGGTTCAGGTTTGATTAGGTTTTTTTTTCGGTTTAGGGTTGAGGGTTTAGGGTAGTAGACTACCAAGGGGTTCTACATGAGGGTTCTATCAGGGTGGTGGAGGGGTTACTATGGCAGCTTTCGGGGCAGTCTGAAAAAGTAGTACCTGCATTCCCCGATTTATACTATACCCGGTACCCTGCAGCCTGCTCTAACACTGTAGATCCGGAGGTTTAGGGATCAAGGGGCTTCGAGTTACCTAATATAAGGGCCTTAATAATAAGCAGAATAGGGTTTTGGGCGGTATATTGTACTAGAAACCTATGATAAGGAGCCCCGAAAATGGTATTGGCAACTATTTAGGCCCCTATATGACTTAGCCTTTTCCTTGGTTGGAGCTTGAGGCTTTCGCGGCTCGAGCGTTGGAGGCATGTAGTTGAGTTCAAGTCGTGCGTAAACCCTAAACCCTAAACCCCTAAACCCCTAAACCCCTAAACCCCTAAACCCAAGTCCCTGTACTCTCTGTCTTAAATACTGGAGAACCCAGAATCCTAAGCCCTAAATCCGAAACCTCAAAGCCCCTAATCCCTGAACTAACCTAGACCTGCCCAAAACCCAAAACCCTAAACCCCAAAAACCCTAAGCCCTAAACCCTAAACCCTGAACTAACCCAGACCTGGTACGTTTCTTCAGCGTGGTGACTCGGTAGTCACCTTTTAACGAGGCACACGCGTCCGTATCCAACGAGTTGCGAGATGCAACTTATGCACTCAGCACAGTCCTTCTGTTTGCAAGGGTGCGTGCTATTGCCACCTGCTCCACCTCTTGCCCTCCCTTCTCCATAGAGGCTGCGACTCTTTGCTCAGTCCATGTGGAGCGGAAACACGTGGATAATTGTGGACGTCCTACGCTTTGTCTGCCGTTTGGCACATGAGTCGCTCGGGCTTTCCAACAGCGTTTTTTGCCTTGGCGCTTTGGTTGAAGCAACTGCGATTGCGTCGGGCATGCCTGCCATTCTTTACATTGATACAATTCATGGGATAGTTAATTCACTCTTGAAATATCGGCTATGTGGGAAGTTTCCCAAATCTCGCAGCGCTTATGTGGGCGATGGCACCTCATCCACTGGGAAGCCCTGTTGCTTTGCTGGGTTCAGTTCCTGGAGAACCTTCGCATTTTTGTGCAGGCACTGCAGCAGATCGGCTCCACAATATCAGCAAAGTGGCCACACCGCTTCGGCAGTTGACAGGCTACGTCACAGTCTACGCAGAGGAGGCAGGTAGATGCCTGTGCCCCAAGTTTGCCACGTGCGTTGAATCAGAAGTGAGCAAGTTTGTGAATGTAACACATTTTTTGATGCTTCGCATGGTGGCGAGTTCTCGAAGCACATAAACATAAACAGGAGCGGGAGCGGCAAAGGTATCTTGGCAAAAAGCGCTGCAGTTATGAAGGACTCGTTCCTGCCGATGCGGAGCTGCATATCGTGCATACGAATGTCTACTTCGTGTTCCTTCAGCGAGAACATCACCGAGTTGGCGGTGTGTATGAGAACTAACAAGATCACCACGGATTCTTTGAGCGGATTGCTGGTTCGTTGCTTTCAAATATCCGAGACCCAGGAGTCCATCGTTGCATCCCCAAGCGAGACGATTCTATGTTGGCTCGCCGCACCGGCCGCTCAACTTTCCGAAGTGCCTTGCCTAAGAGCACAATATTGGCTAGGTACTTCCACATCATGGAGCAGGTGTGGCCGCATGTTCTTGCTGATACTGTGCCCTTGCCGTACGATTTAGCCATCTAGCCATCTCAGATGCTGCCTCCACTGCCAGCGCGCAGCCGTCAATGTGGATGAGAAATCCTGGCTGGCTTCTGAGACTATGCATCTGACGGACCAGCAGGCAGTGTTTCTCCACATCGTACGCGGTTGCTCGACGCGCTCCGTCACAGTGGAGGCGTGTTGCCGTTGTCGTTGAGTTCGTCCCGCAGTGGACATGTTGCAGGATTCTTGGCATGTTGCAAGTGTTTTGCGTAGCGATCCACTGGGTGCTCTTTGCGCAAGCATCAATTGTCGCGTCTTCACGACACTGCACGTGCGTGGCTTGTACGGCGTCAGAAATGAAATTTGCACCCCATTGTTCCGAATGCAGCGCAGCAACCGGCCACAACTGCAGACCATGGAAGGAGGGGAATCTCACCTTGCTTGGTTGCAGTCGTTGCTGGCCTCTCTGCATCTCTTGCCTGGCATCTCGATCTTTGACGCTTGCTGGCGAGGCCTTCTGGTATGTCTCGAAGGAGTGGACAAGGCCCATGTGCCCCATGTGGCAGCTTGTCTTGACCGAGCGATTGCGACCGTGGCCGAGGAGAAAGTGTTCTTTGTGACTCACAAGAATAGCGGCCAGATCAGCGCCTTGCAGATTGGTGGGTTGGATGCTGTGGGATTGTTCTTGGCATTGGGTGCCTTTGGCGGGATGCACTGAAGAAAGCTGGTACTCGACAGCAGGAGGCGTTCCTTTTCCCAAGATGGACATTAACCGATTTCTGTATAGCTGTTAGTAGAAGTATCGCATATACGTAATATAAAAGCCCCCAAGACTCATAATTCAATATATAAGTCCCTATATAAAATGCAGTGCCAGGCACGACTTCTTTCAAACTTGCCAGTGGCCAAGTTATCTTGGTGGCCGAGCTGTCCACAGCAAGGACGTTTTCGCGAAGAAAGAAGCTGAGTTCACATGTTCAGCCCCCAAAGGCTTGCCATGCTATCCGGTGTTGCAGGCATTTTCGCAGAGGACGCTTCCAGCAGTTGCGGTCGCCAGACATCAGCATGCCTTCAGTGTTTGATCCTGTTGTGCGAAATCGAAAACGTGCTTCAAGACACATCTCCGACACGGGACGTGTCGATCCGGACGAACTGGAGCAGAAGAGCGACTCGTGGTGTAAGCGCCGGCTTTTTCGCTCATGTTTTGCGCGTGTACGTCGTCAGACTTCCCTGAAGCAAGTCGCTCAACAACTGGATAGCATGAAATCTGCTTCAGAAGAGGAGCACGTGGTGCAAATAGTTGTGGAGAATCACTTGCAGAACCTCCGTAATTAAAACTTCGGCCGTCGCGGATTGAACACACCACAGAACGCTGCAGCCTTAGGAGACTCATAAATCCGCTGAGGTCCTTTTTATGAAGTGTAGTAGGGTTTGGGGTTGGGGTGCTAGGGATGAGGGCTCGGGGTTTATGGTCAGTGTTCAGGATTTTGAGGTTTATGAGTCTGGGCGCTCAAGGTCAAGATTTAGGGTGGGTTCGATTTAGGCTTTTGAGGTTTGGGCCTAAGGTTATCAGGGTCAGTCGCCTCGGCGGGTCTCAGTCTGTGAACTTTACAAGGAAACCACCCTTGTGAAATCGTACAACAGCTTCCTGAAGGCCATAAGCCCCGTTTAAAACCTTGAACTTAAAACCCTAAGCTTTATACCCAAATCCCTTTGAAGATTCGCCAAGCCCTCAGCCAGCCTGCGAACCTTCAGCCTTAGTTCCAAATGCTGAACAGCCCGGAGCCCGAAAGACTCCTGCCTCTTTGGGATTTAGGGAGTAGGGTTTGAGGGTTTAGGGTTAGGGTTTGAAGGTTTAAGGTTTAAGAATAAGGGCGTAGGGCTTAGTGTTTATGGGTTAGGGTTCGGGGGTTAGGGTTTAGGGTTTGAGCACTACGTACCAGATCCTAACATGTCTACAACCCGAAAGAATCTGGACCTTAAGCCTTGGAGCCCCCAAGCCCTAAATCACAGACGCCAAACAGTATTCTGCAGCCTCCTTTCAATGTAGGGGCCTGCGAATAGTACTCTTTAGTTCGCACAACAATATACACTAACATCTTTTACTAGTTGTTTGAACCCATTCAGGAAGTCTCCTCTGCACTTTGAACCTTGTACCCTATGCTCTTCAGCCAAAAGTCCAAGGGCCCGAACTGTTCCGAACACTTCAATGTCAGAGGGTAGAGTTTAGGGTTTCGGAGTAGAGATAAGGACGGCCCAAGGCAATATGTAGGTCTCTGGACCTTTCAAGCATGCAATCTGCCGCATGAGCTGATCGCCAGGGCAGAGCAGCTGGGAGATGGTTGGAATGGCGCCTTGGTGGGCTCGGGATAGAGAATTGAGGTGATATGGGAGCTTGAGAAACTGACGGACCTCAAGATGAACCCCCAAGTTTCTGAAACCCCATGGAGGTAAGCTTTTCAAGGCCTTCATTTCATACTGCTGTACCGGAAGGGGCGTCGTGTTTGTTGGCTTAGCGCTCAGGGTTTTGGTAGGAAGGTTTCTGAATCTTGCATGGGTTTGTGGTGGTTATGATGACGGTGACGATGACGATAAGGATGGCCATGATGATGGTGATGGTGGTGATGGTGGTGATGCAAGAAAGAGTCGGAGCGTTGCTGACCGTCGCGGTGGTGCTGATGGTTGTGCAGATGACGATGTTGTCGACATCTCCGCAGACGCCCAGAGGCGAGGCTTGTGGGCCTCCAGCTACGAATCTCACCTTTAAACTAGAAACACCTAACCATCATTTGGTCTTAATGATTAGGAATAATGTCTTCTTGCAGTCCCTGTATAAATTCGTGAGCGCAAAAGCAAACCCCAGTTAGAATGTGCTTTGGAATTGAAATCACGTTTTGCAAAACCCTCCTGGATGCCCAACCTGAAAACCTTAAGTAGTCGGAGTCGAACCCATGTTTGACAGACCAGCAACTCCTCATTTAAGCATAAGTAATGGCACAATGTAGCACCTTTAACCCCTTAACGCCGTAAGCCCGATGCAACCGCACAAAGACCTCACCCAGACCCTTATCTGAACCCCTCCCCTCCCAAGCTTCTCACACTCCACACAGATCAAAACAGACACTGAGCTTTAAACCCTAAACCCGGCCACAACTCCCTAACCTTAAACCGAGGTTTGATCATCAGCTTCGGGAGGATCCTCTTCGACCCGGCCGCTCGCTTTGCCAGAGTTGGGGTTTGCAGCGCTTGTCGTTTTTGCAGCCAGTTGTTGGTGTTCTTGTGTTATGAGAGCCTATGAAAATTCCGTACGGGTTCTTTCAGGTTTTTCGATTTTCGCCGGTGTAAGTCGGCGCGAGAAGGTTCACGAAGCCGTAATTCACGATGACCTCCTCTTCATTGTTGCTGCCACTGATATTGGGCTCGATAGCCAGATTCGCCACGTCGCTGGTTGTGTTCAAGCTAATGAACCTTGAGCTCAAATTGCATCAGGGCGAGAATGATGGCGTCGAGTCAATGTCAATGATGGCATTTATCAAGAAGCATATGTGGAGAAGAGAACGATGCTGGTGAGGATGGCAATCGTCACAATGATGATGGTGGTGATGGTGATGATGATGATGATGATGATGATGATGCGGCTTTGCTGCTGCATCATTGCCACAGTCGCTGTCACCATTCCCCTCGCCCCTGTCATCTCCATCATCATCATGAGCTGCATCATCGTCAGCAGAAGCAGCAGCGGCTGGAAACGGCGCCGCTGCATGTGATGACGATCGTGATGGTGATGACGGTTCTGACGTGTTATGACGTTTATGGCGTTGCTGCCGGTGCTGGTGTTGGTGTTGGTGTTGTCGTTGCCGTTGTGGTTGCAGTTGGTGTTGCTGTTGCTACTGCTGCTGCTGCTGCTGTTGTTGTTGTTGCCGCCACGGATCAGACGGCCGCGCGGCTTAGTGGGACTTTCGAACAGGCTCCGGGTGCAACTCCCTTGCCAAAAGGTTCCGACCTGGCTTCTTTTGAACTGTAAGGGATTGTCCCGTACGCTGAACCATGTGCCCCTCTGCATCTTGAACCTTTCTGATCCACCAGGTCCCAATTCCTGGACCCAGTCACTGTCTGAGGCATTGATTACAGGGCAGGCGGTAGGGTTTCCACCTCCCCGCGTTGGAGGAAGTCACTTAGCTTGCTTCGTGACGAAATCAGCGGATGGCGCTACCGCCAGTGCATTCACAAAATTATTCGAAGAAGTCGTTTAAGCACGCTTGCAGGACAGCTGCTGTCAGTCAACAGCCAGTGTCGTGCCGAGGTCAGGTCCTCACCCGACCCCGTCGCATGCGCAACTGCCTGTGGGCGACCGCGGCGGCCACTTTTACAAGACCAAGGGCGGGACGAGAAAAGCAAGGAAATCCGGTTCTGTCTTGGAATGCTGGACACTTAAGTCCCTGCGACATTCTTGTCTAGCAGGAAACCCACTGGCAGGCCACAGCCGAGTTCAGCACGGCAGGCTGGTACTGTGTGTCTTCTGTTTTGCTGGCCCCGGCGCAACTCAAGAAAAGTCAAGAACGAGAAGGGGCTCTGCCCGCCAAGCTGCAAAGGCAGGGGCCCTGCCCACTCCGGCAGACGTTCGGCTGAGGGACGCTGGACCGCCACAAATCGAGCGGATGGAGTCATGGTGCTGCTTTCCCCTTCCATACAGCCTCAGGGCATCAGATGGAATGAACACCGTCAGGGAAGAGTTAGGTTCGATTGGCATGGTGCACGCGCTACTGTCATTGCGGTTTATCAACATGCTTGGTCGCCGGCTAAGACTGTCCAAGCAAGGCGGGTCCCGCACTCAAATCGACTTTATCATAACAAGGGAGCCCGCGGCAGGTCGATCTGCCAAGAGTCAGGACCTTTCCACTCCTTCCCGCTGGGAAGTTTAAACCTCTGGTGCATTGATGCTAAAGCCATGCAGCCTGCGGTAAGATCTCATAACCAGAAGGCCCAAAACATGTTGTCCTGGGTCCAGGCACGCATCTGCCTGAGGGTGAGGAGACACTTGCGGCCCGGCGCCTCTGACGAACTCGACATTTGGAGCCTGCAGCTGACAAGCTGACTCCGCTGCCTTGGAGGTTAGGGAAGCTCTAGTAACTCAGCGCATCAAGGCAGTTAAAACGGCCAGGAAAGACCGGGCGGCCCAGTTCCTTTCCGAGGTGGACCAACCTTGAGAGCAGGGAGACCAACACATTGCCTGTTCGACTTTTAAAGCAGCTCCGACCGTGGCACAGCTGAAGGACGAAGGTGGTTACCTACTTAGCCCTACAGGAGAGCTACAGGCGCTTAGCCAGCACGCCAAGACCGTCTTTGCAGTGCACGCCCCGCTGCATGAAGGGACGGGCCAATTCCCGTGTCTTGACCCGCTGCAACTAGCTCGGCACATAGCCTCCATCTTGGGGCGGCGTATGCCTCTTTATCCAGCCTTGCGCAGAGGTTGCGTCACGCTTCGAAATGCCGGCAACACTCAGAGAAACTTTGCAGATGTCGTCTCGACAACGGGAATTAAACAGGGTTGCAAATGAGTGCCGACGCTTTTCTCAGTCCTCACGGAACGGCTCATCCACTTCCTAATCAGTGCTTTTGGGTTGGTGGCAGTCCAGCGGTTTCTGACTGGCTATGCGGATGACTTTACGGTTCATCGCGCCATTATAGGTCTAAAGCCGACCTGCGCATCAGCTAATT